AAAGATGGGGACCACCACCCCGGTCTGCCACTCCCTAGGAACTGCCCCCGATGACCATGCAATGTTGTAGAGACGTGTCAGCCATGACAGCCCTACAACATCCATAGCCTTGAGATACCCAGGACGAACCTCATCCGCCCCCGGGGCTCCGCCGCTGTGTAGTTGTTTGACTACCTCAGCAACTTCTGCCCCCGAGATCGGACAGTCCATCCCCAGGTCTCCCAGCTCTGGTTCCTCCTCGGAATGCGCATTGGTGGGATTGAGGAGCTCCTCAAAGTATTCCTTCCACCGTCCGACTATAGCCTCAGTTGACGTCAGCAGCTCCCCATCCCCACTATAAACAGTGTGAGCGAGTTGCTGCATTCCTCTCCTGAGGTGCCGGACAGTTTGCCAGAACCTCTTTGGAGCCGATCGATAGTCTTTCTCCATGGCCTCACCAAACTCCTCCCACGCCCAAGATTTTGCCTCGGCAACTGCCACTGTTGCACCCCGCTTGGCTATCCGGTACCTGTCTGCTGCCTCCGGAGACCCACAGACCAGCCACGCCCTGTAGGCCTCCTTCTTCAGCCTGACGGCTCCCCGAACCTCTGGTGTCCACCAGCGGGTACGGGGGTTGCTACCACGACTGGCACCGGCCACCTTACGACCACAGCTAGCAACAGCCGCCTCGACAATCGCAGAGTGGAACAAGGCCCACTCGGACTCAATGTCCCCCACTGCTCTCGGGACGTGGTCAAAGCTCTGCCGGAGGTGGGAGTTGAAGACCGTCTTGACAGGTTCTTCTGCCAGGCGTTCCCAGCAGACCCTCACTATGCGTTTGGGTCTGCCAGGTCTACGCGGCATGTTCCCTTGCCATCTGATCCAACTCACCACCAGGTGGTGATCAGTTGACAGCTCCGCCCCTCTCTTCACTCGGGTGTCCAAAACATACGGCCGCAGGTCAGATGATACGACTACAAAATCTATCATCGACCTGTGACCTAGGCTGCCCTGGTACCAAGTGTACCGGTGGGCCTCCTTATGTTCGAACATGGTGTTCGTTATGGCCAAACTGCGGCTTGCACAGAAGTCCAATAACAAAACACCGCTCGAGTTCAGATTAGGTGGGCCGTTCCTCCCAATCACACCCCTCCAGGTCAAGCTGTCATTGCCCACGTGAGCATTAAAGTCCCCCAGCAGGACAATGGAGTCCCCTGATGGAGCACTATCTAGCACTCGTCCCAGGGACTCCAAAAAGGGTGGGTACTCTGAACTGATATTTGGCCCATAAGCACAAACAACAGTCAGGACCCGTTCCCCGACCCGAAGGCGCAAGGAAGCTACCCTCTTGTCCCCCGGGGTAAACCCCAACACACAGGCAGAGAGTCTCGGGGCTAACAAAAAGCCAACCCCAGCCCTCCGCCTCTCACCCGGAGCAACTCCAGCAAAGTAGAGTGTCCAACCCCTCTCCAGGTCTCGGGTTCCAGAGCCAATGCAATGTGTCGAGGTGAGTCCGACTATATCTAGCCGGTACCGCTCAACCTCTGCCACAAGCTCCGGCTCCTTCTCCGCCAGCGAGGTGACGTTCCATGTCCCAAAAACTAGTTTTCTTGTCCGGGGATTGGACCGCCAAGGCTCCCGCCTTGGTCTGCCACCCGATTCGCATTGCACCGGACCCTTCATGTTCCTCCTGCGGGTGGTGGGTCCACAGTTGGACGAGCCCATGTATCCGGTTCGGGCTGGGCCCGGCCGGGCCCCATGGGCGAAAGCCCGGCCACCAGGCGCTCGCTCACGGGCCCCAACCCCAGGCCTGGCTCCAGGGTGGGACCCCGGTAACCCTCCGGGCCGGGTACTACGACTCTTCGTTTTAACCTCCATGAAAGATCCTTCGAACCGTTCTTTGTCTCACCCTTCACCTAAGACCAATTTGCCATGGGAGACCCTACCAGGGGCACTAAGTGCCCCAGACAACATAGCTCCTAGGATCATTAGGGCACTCAAACTCCTCCACAACGATAAGGTGACGGTTCAAGGAGGAGCTTCAATACAAAGTGCCTTGTGGATCTCATGCATATACTTAAGCCAGCTCGTTGCAGCGCTTCACCATTAACGATGGCGACCACAGATCAAAGAAGTGCAATTTCACTGAAGCAGAAATTGACGTACTTGTGGGTGAAGTAGAAAAAATTAAAGGAACTGCTTTTGCTAAAAAAATAAGAGAAAATCCATGGAGTGGCACATCATTGCTGAAGCCATCAATGCTGTGAATTCTTCAGAGAGATCTGTGGCAAATATTAAAAAAATGGTCCAATCAGGATTCAATCCCCAGACTCCCATGTGAGAGTCCCGCATGCTAACCAGTCAGCCAAAAGGACATGTCCCTTGACCAAGTAGCCAGGGTGTATGATCAATGAGGTAACAGTGGCAGGTGAGCAACACCAACAGCAGTCCAGGTAGGAGGATCGACATGGCATTGTCACGTTTTGAGGATGTTTAGGACCCAAATATGCAGAAACACAGGATGACACGAGGCTGGAGATGATGTAAAGTAAATATGCTTTATTTAGCAGGAAAAACAAAAATAAATCCAAAGGCAGTGAGCCCAAAGTCCAAAAATCCAAAAACCCTGGTAACAAAAACAAAAGCCCACTGAGAGCACCAAAACCTGGAGACATAAGCTCAACTAGAGCATGAAACAACGCTGACAAACATACAATGGACCGACAACAACACAGAGACAAGACAGGGCTTAAATAGACTGGGAAGATGAGAGGGAGATAATTACAGGTGTGTGGGGAGAGGGACCAGGTGAATACAATTACTAAATCAGGGAGGAGGAAGAACACACGGGTGGGAAAACACACTAAATACTGAAAGGCTGTAACAAAGGAAAATGACCTAAGAGAAAAACAAAAGACCAGAAAGCATGAACCATGACTAATATACTAAGGGGAAGCTGACACTAAAGGAAAACACTATAGAAAGAAACAACAGGGACGTGGCTAAGAGGGGGCCAAGAGAGCACAGGACCTGGGAAAGAGATGTCTGAGGGGGGAAACCTAAAGGGCAAATGGGGAACACCAGGAGACACATGAGGAAGACGCAGACATGACACATGAGGGCTCTAGAAGACACAAAAGGAGCACCTAGAGAGGATGGAGAAACACCAGGAGGCACATGAAGGAAGGGGCAGATGCAGACCATGACAGTACTACCCCCCCACCCCCAAGGGGCGGATACCAGACGCCCAAACAAGAACAAACAACAACAAGCACAAGACAAGACACAGGACACGAAAAAACCAGAGGGAGGGAGAGGAGGGAACCAACAAACACAACCCAAAAAGGGCGGGCGAGAGGGGAACAGTAGACCCCGGGAGGCTGGCGACAGGGAACCAGGAGGCGGGACCAGAGAAGTCCAGGGGACCGGTGACCAGATAAGCCTAGGAGGCTGGTGACGGGGAACCAGGAGGCGGGACCAAGGAAGCCTAGGTGGCCGGCGACGGGGAACCAGGAGGCAGGACCAATGAAGCCCAGGACGCCGGCGACGGGGAACCAGGAGGCGGGACCAAGGAAGCCCAGGAGGCCGGCGACGAGGAACCAGGAGGCGGGACCAGGAAAGCCTGAGGGTAGGGGGTCTTGGAGGAGGAGGACGAGGAAAGGTCTCTGGAGACGGGGACTGTGACTGGAACACTTGAGACTTGGGAAACTGGAACACTTGTGGGGAGACTTGAGACTTGGGAGACTTGAGACTTTTGAGACAGGATCATTTGTAACTGGGAGACTTGAGACAGAAACACTTGTAACTGGGAGACTTGAGACAGAAACACTTGTAACTGGGAGACTTCCACTTCAGAGCTGGAGACAGGAACGTCCACTTCAGAGCTGGAAACGTCTACTTCAGAGCTGGAGCTGGAGATGCCTACTTCAGAGCTGGAAACGTCTACTTCTGCTGACTTCGAGACAGGAGGCGTCGACTTCTGGCCTGGGGGCGTCGACTTCTGGCCTGAGGGCGTCGACCCTTGGACTGGAGGCGTCGACCCTTGGGTTGGAGGCGTCGACCCTTGGGCTGGAGGCGTCGACCCTTGGGCTGGAGGAGTTGACCCTTGGGCTGGAGGCGTCGGACTGGGCGAAGCCTCTCGGACTGGCTGGACCGGAGCCTCGTGGACTGGCTGGACCGGAGCCTCGTGGACGGGCTGGACCGGAGCCTCGTGGATGGACTGGACCGGAGCCTCTGCGTCCTCCACCGCCGAAGCAGGAAGCGATGCGTCCTCTTGGACCACCGCTGAGGCAAGATGTGGTGATGGTAGATGGAGCTCAGAAGGGGGTTGCAGAGCAGGGGCGTCTTGGACAGGCGGCACAGCTCTGGCTTCAGGAGACTGCTGGTGATGGTGGTGATGTTTGTGACGAGTGCGTCTCCTCGGAGGTGCGGGGATAATGTTGGCAGAAACGGGGGAGAAGAGGAGATTTCTGGGACATCTACTGACCAAGAGCGCAGACCTTGAGGTGAGGATTCAGCTCCCTTGGCAACCTGACCCACCAGAAGACTGGAGGTGGCGTCAGGAGGAACCGTGCCTCGCCAGCAACGCCGATCAGGAGATGAAACCCGGACTCTTTGCTGCTGTGAAGTGGAGGGTGGACTCATCTGAGGTGCTGAGACGGCATCAACATGTACAGGAGGGATGGAGATGAAACCGGATCTGATTGTCTGAGACGACGTAGGGCGGGACTGGAGAATAGGAGCAGATGGAGGAGGATCACGGGGTACATTCTCTTCCATGAATGGTTTGCTTTATTTAAAATTGAGATGCCTGTGGAGATGTTTGTCTTTACGTGTCTAACATGGGGTTTCCACAATAGTTTATTATCGAACTACTACACCTGATGAAACAGGTGAAAGTGGACTAACTCCAAACTCTGTTTTCGTGTTTTTACTGTGGGTCGTCTCTTAAAACTCCTCCTAACTGAGGAACAATTCTGAAACTCGTGTCATCTGTGTGGTTTGTCAATAAAGTTACAACACAGTAACATGACGTCAACGTCACGTGAGCACGATCTTTACGTAAAACGTAACGCACGTTTGGGTTTGGGATTAGAGAGGTTAGTATTTTTAGTTGTTACGTTTGAAGAAGCCGGGAAAGCGTCTGAAGTGTCGCCGGGTTCGTTCGCCCGGTTGTTTGTCTTACTGCAGCACTTGGTTCAGCTTACGCTGCTGCTATCTACCTGCAGCAGTTTGTTCGGTTAAAGCTAACGCTGTTAGCATCATAGCCGTTTCATTCAGTCCACCCTGCTCTGTTTGACTGGGGTTTAGCTCTGCTTTAGCCTGTGCTGTCATAGATGACGCTAGAGGAGCTAGCCTAGTGCTGGGATAAGTTTTGCTGTGCTTGGTTACAGATTACTAGCCGCTGTAGCTGAGGGAGCATCATGTTTCGTCCTAAACCCACCCTGAAGGACCGACAGCACCTTTATAGGCTCATCATAGGCCAGCTGCTTCATGACGGGTACACCAACATCGCCAACAGCCTCATCAACGAGGTCAAGCCTCAGAATGTGGTGTCTCCGTCCGAGCAGCTGATGCAGCTGGCTAAGATCGGTAAGACACCACCCTGTCCTGTCCTGTTTGTCCGACAGCAGGACAACAGGAACTCTTCACTTTACCTCATTTAGCTTCAGATGAAGATCAGGGTTATAGCCATTGTGGGGTTAATTAGGATGATGCAAAGGCCCAGGTGCGCGGTGATCTTAGGTCAGATTGAATGTAAGTGCTGCACCAATGCATTACTGCCTGCAGGCGACTGCAGATATCAGAGTCGCTTTTCACAGAAAAAAATATTTGTCCTCATTTTCAACAAACTGCAGTTTGTGGGTTAGAAAACGCTTTAATGGCAATATTTTGTCGAGTTTATAGGTGGTCAATATAGCGTAGTACTGCTGAGTGCAGTTGCACAACCTACTGGAGAGAAGTGTGTAGAGTAGCTCAGATGAAACATTGTTTCAGCATGAGAAATTGGGTTTTATTTTTATTTTATTTTAAGTATCAGAACAATAACATGGCATAGTACTCTCATTGAATAACAATCAATTTTACAGGCAGACAGAAGTACCTTGAAAAGAGTTCCAGTAAGACCAAATACTTTAACATAACTGTGGAATTAGCTAAAGGAAAACAACACACAGGAAAAAAATAAATAAAAAATGGGGAGATATCATATTACAAATCCATATTTGTGTTAGGAGTCAGAGGTTAACAGATATTTTTCCATTGCAGAGTATAGAATTGTTGCTTTACTACTTTTCTTGAGCTTGAGACCTAAAGAAAAGATCAATTTCTTTCTGAAAAGGAGGCAAATATGGGGTATTTTTCAGAGCACGGTTCTTATTTATAAAAATTTACCTAAAAGTACAATGACATTTAAAATCAGGTCAGTTTCTTTTATTGCTGAAAAAACCCAAATAAAACATTATGTTCTGAGAATGTAGGCATCATCTGTATTTTGGATTTTAACCTGCCTTCCACTCGTGCCCAAAAAAACCTTTGTGCAGTTACAGTCAAAGAATATGTGGCAAGTAGTTTCCATCTCCAAGCCGCAAAAGGCACAGCCATCGTGGTCTAAGTTAAATCTAAGCCACAGGAGTTCACCCAATTTTAAATAGCATTTCTTTAACTTTCTGAGCAATTGGGTATTTAAAGAAGTGACTTCTAATTCGCTTTTGGGTCTCCGAAGATGGATAACAAGATATTAGAATCTTATCGGAGAGCACGGATGAAGTATTTGAATGAAATGCCTACGTATAGATGTACTGGTTAATTTTTTCGTGTCTTTTAAAAGCGAGCCCACCAAGGTGAACAGCTGGGAGTCTGGGAATTATATTATTTATCTTTAAATTATGGGATATTAGTCAAATAGACTCCGCAATCATTTTGATTACCTTTACATATTCCTCTCTATTATGCAGGTCGTATTGTGTTTTAAAAGCATCAAACGATATGCTATAGTCATCTAACATATGTAGTACTGACCAGACACCTTTATCAACCCAGTTTTGGTAATACAGAGATTAATTTCTTGAAATTACGTACCTACAGTTCCAAAAGGGGGTAGAATGGGGGCTGAAATTGTGTTTATAGATCAGCTTCCAATATAAGAGTACTTGCTGGTGAAAGAGCGCTAGCTTGATGTGGAGCTTTCTGATATCATGGTCACATCTGAGGAGAAAGGTTATGCCCCCAAGTTTTTTGAATATCGTGTTTGGAATATGAAACCAAAAACTATCTTGGTCACTAATAAAGTTCCTCAACCAGTTGATTTGAATGGTACCATTAACACAAAGTTTAGTGCACTTATTCCACCATCTTCCTGTTTTTTAACCATATTACTTTTTCTAATATAATAGTTTGAATGCTGTTAAGCATTCAAACTATTGTTTTCCTGTTTTTCTAGTTCTTCTTCTTCTGCTTCCGTACACTTTTTGAACCTTTTCTACTCCTTCAAATTTTTTACTATTTCAAAAATTTTATATCAAAACGTTCAGCTCGTCAAGCTCTTTCCGCCTCTCACTTTTGGCATTGATATCTTTAAAATTTTTCGAGTTAAGCCTTTTCAGCAAAACATTTCCCATTGAAATGAATGGGATTGGTCAATTTTCAGCTAATTCCTATCACTTTTTGGACCTAAAACTCTATAGGGTTCCTTTTAACTTAGAGACTTCATTCAAAGTTTAACAAACTCACAAGACTTTCCCGTTTAACATATTAAAGAGGCTTTTTGATATCTTTTACGGTTTTTCTAAAATCGCAGGTAGAAGTTGAGGTACGACATGAAATTTTCAGAAAAATTCACAAAAGTTATAATGGGGAAAGATAGGAGCGGTGACCCTCCCTTTCTCCATTTCTGGCGTTGTCCCGAGAGAACCGTAGGTCCGATTGAAATGAGACACATGCTGGCTTACAGCTAACGAATATACCTTCGTTTCGAGCTATAATTCATGACTGTACTCCAAACATTGTGGTCGTACGGTTCATTTGTTTGAGAAAATTCAAATTTAAAAAAATGTCTCTCTCCACTCTAAACAGAAAATTCTGCAACTTTTGAACTTCACATCTTCTGTGAACAGCTCTTTACTACCCCCAGACCGTTTGGACTACCAAATAAATTATTACTCAAAAAGTAGGATTTTTTGTCAGCTTTTCAGAATGGGTTTCATTTTATCTGTAAGTGTTACCGTTCTTTCGCTACAAGCCCCAGAAAGAAAAGAGACCCAGATTCTCGCTCATTGAAACCCATGTTAAAGGAACAGAGATTTTCTCCTCTGATCGGCTTCAGACAGCTAAAAGTTTCTCGTCATAGCTTCTAGACAATTCATGGTAGGCATATAAAAATACGCACAGATGACCATCAAAGCCTTCTGCCGCTCACGCTTTTTGAATTTTTCAAATCGGTGCAGTACTTTTCGAATGGTGATGAGAAGTTTGACAGGTCCAATTTCACTTCTGAAGGACAGATTTAAAGGCTTCTCTCATTAACAGGAGTACAGCTGCAGGCCTCCAACAGCTGGGGGGAAGGCAGTGCTGCTCTCTGATTGGTTGAGAGTGTTCAACCATTTTCTGTCCAATCAGGATCCAGCACCCACACATATGACACATCAAATCGACCAGCTTGGTCTCGGGAATCTTGTATTCAATTTTAAATGCGTTATCTGTTACCATGGTAACACAAGTGCATAAGTATATCCCCAAACAAGTCTTATGGAAATGAATGTGAAAAGCCTAATATTGAGTCTATAACATACTGCTGTTTCTTATCTTTCTGAGCTCTATACACTTAAAATGTCAGCTATGCTGCTAGTTTTAACACTAGTCAGAAGGAAGGAACCGCCCCCTCCTCCTTCGCTGGTCTCTCATTGGCTGCGAGTTTTCATTCACCTTCTGCCTAAAAGGAAATGTGCACCCACACATATTATACATCAATTCAACCTGCTTGGTCCCAGGAGTCCTGTATTAACTTGATATTGTGTTTTGCCTTACCATGGCAACGTGCCAAGCAACAACATTTAACAACATTTTAGACACAACTGTATCATCATACTTTAATATAGAAATGTTATTAAAAGTTTAAGAGTCATATGACATTGTAAATTGTTTGTTTAATGCAGACTCCTGTCATCTGTTACCATGGCAACACAAGGAACTACAAATCACTTTAACCAAGTCTCATAGGAATGAATATAAAAAGCTGAATATTGAGCCAATAACAGACTCCTGTTTTTTATCTTTTTGAACTATCTGTATTTAAAACTAGAAACAAGTTAAATTTGATTGACCGTCAGAAGGTGGGAAAGTGCCCCGCTCCCTCCCAGCTCCCTGATTGGTTGAAAGAGGTCAATCATCTTCGGGCTAAAAGGAATTACACACCCACACATGTGAGACATCAAATCGATCGGCTTGGCCTAAGGAATCCATCCATCCACAAATAAATCCATCCATCCATCCATTCAATTCAATTTTCAATTCAGTTTTATTTATATAGCGCCAAATCACGACAAGAGTCGTCTCAAGGCACTTCACATAATAAACATTCCGATTCAGGTCACTTCATTAAGCCAATCAGGAATAATGTTTCCTATATAAGGAACCCAGCAAATTGCATCATCATACTAAGCAAGCATAAAGCGACAGTGGAGAGGAAAACTCCCTTTTAACAGGAAGAAACCTCCAGAGAATCCTGGCTCAGAATAAGCAGCCATCCTCCATGACTCACTGGAGATCGAGAAGACAGAGCAGACACACACACAGACAGACAGACAGACAGACAGACAGACAGAGTAATGTGTCTATAGTTATATTGTGATTTCTTAGTAAATATTCTATTTGGTGAGATATAAACTTTATTGTATTTATCCTAGTGGATCTATAATTAAACGGGTAAACTAGTAGTAGCACATCCAACGTCAAGGAAAGCAAAAAGTTATTATCAGGAGAGGGAGAATGTTTAAGTGGTTAGCAGCAGTGTGCTAGACGATGGCCCCCTCCATGAGGCCACCACAGCTCAGCAGAACATCATTGTAGCTTCTTCTGGGGAGAAAAACACTTAAGAGAAAAAATAAAGTTAACAGCTGAAATTGCAGGAAATAATTCAGTTAAAGAGCAGACTGTAGAAGAAAGTAGTAGAAGTTGGAAAGTGGTCAGTGTCTCCTCCAGCAGTATAAGCCTATAGAGCTCCGGGAGTTGACGTCACTTCTCCCGGCATGCAACAGTTCAAATCGAAACGGCGCCATTTGGCAGGCAGAAGCCGACAGCTGGACTATTTGTTATTGTCAGAAAACTCAATCAAAAGGGAAATATGGTAGATTCCTGTTGTGCCCCAGGATGCAGAACAGACGCGGACGACATAAGGAATGAGCCATCTACAGGATTCCCCAAGATCCGGAGCACCGCAAACGTTGGATCATTATAATAAAACGCGCTAGTGACCGGGCTAAAATGAAGCTGTGGGATCCCGAGAGTAAAGGTTTTCACTTATGCAGCGACCGCTTCATATCAGGTACTTAAACCAACGTTTCCTCAACTGTGTATGGTATTTATTTTAAATGCTT